CTTGGACACCAGATCATTAACAGATTAATAAAACTTACCAAGAAGCCTGAAACAAGGTATATTTCATTTAATCAGGCTATTTTTATTTCATTCATTCCTTTTGCTACAAGTCAGTTGGAAAAGTCAATGGGTATTTTGCTCAAGGAAAGACTATGCTGAAAGTCTAAGTCTAAGGTGCACAGCAGCGTAAAGTGAAATGCACAAATTCTCCTCCTTATTCCAAAAATCTGTAGTGTTTCAAAAGAATAAACACCTTCTTCATGAAAAAAGCTACCCCAAAGCATGTATGAACAGTTCAAAACAGAGTCCACTTGTACAACAGATACTTCCGATTAAATCTTTTCTAAACAGGTATCTGATATCTACCCAGAGCTCCCCAAGAAGCACATGAAAGCAGATGAACATTACAGTGAACTCTGTAATGCACTAAATATGATGTAACAGTGCTCAGGGGATATACAATTCAGAAACAAGTCCCATGATCCTTTTATGTCAAGGAACTCCATCAGCATGCATGCCATACCCGCAACCAACAGACAAGTAATAAGCTCCCCAATAACTCAGATCGTTGTATTTCAGACATCAGGCTTTCAGTTTCTTTCTGCAGTAGTTTAAATACAAACCACACACGTTGCAGCTTTGGCAGCTCTTTATATGTTCTCCTTTGAGCTTGACTCTGAAAGTCTATGTCTAACTTAAAGTCCTTGTATTGCTTGAGTTTGTACTAACTCATTATGCCACATTTCCAGAACAATGGAAAACCAAAGAGCACATTCTTTGGAGAAGGCAGCATTACTAGGTTCCCAGGAATACAGAATAATTAACATGCCAACCAAGCCAGGGATACTAACTGTGTGCTCTTGAAGTGTGGATGCTCAGTGGAAAGGTTCATTAAAGCTCAGCTCAGTGCAGATAAGCTGCTTTGCCCCTCCGCCTAGAACAGGGCTGGAAATAAAAAGGACTGTGAAGCCTGCTAGCCAGTAATACATTTTGTACAGTTTTGAAATATATTAAGTGAATACCTGAGAAATAGCAATGTTCTGTGCTTGGGCTCCAAACACCACAATTTTTTTCTACTTTGAAGCCAGAAAATTTGGTAACAAATTAATAAGCGCTATGAAGCAAATCCAAAGCTCTGGCAAAAAAGCTGAGGTCTGCTCAGTCTTTCCACTGAAGAGCTGATCAGCCTTCTGGGAATGTCTACAGCAGTTATTTTTTTGTGATCACTGCGACACAGCAATGACTCAAAGCAGTTGCTACGGAGCTTCTCGTATCTTCAGGTGTGTGTGTGTGGGGGGATATTCAAATTCCTGTCAAATACACAAAACCGGTTCTACTCTAAATTGCTAGTGAAGACAACATCATTCATTTTATGTGTCAAGCCATTTTAAAGCACTGAGTTTGCAAATACAACTATTTGCTCCCAATATTTTATTGTACAGCAAAGTAATTGTCAGGCATGTATCATATGTTTTCTAGAAAAATATTTTTGTTTTCCTTAAAGACTTAAGTAGAAAGTAAAAAATCTTACTGTATTGATCCCCAGACCATTAAGCATGTATATCACATCCTCTGTGGCTACATTTCCAGTAGCACCTTTTGCATAGGGACAACCACCCAGTCCTGCAACTGATGAATCCACTACAGCAACTCCCATCTGGAAGAGAACAACACAAAAATGCAACATCAGCGCAGAATATTATTTATAATTAATCATAAATAGCAGGCTATACATATTAGTTACCATGGATAGAATACATATTTCTCCACAAATGCATGTGTTTCTCGAAGGAAATTCCTTATAACAGCATTAGTTCTGATGTCTTTATAAGGTAAGACCCTTCAAACACAGGATGTGGAACAGAGAACTGATGGACCATTCCATGTGATTTTGGCAGATAAGATGATTGCTGTTCTAGAGCCAAATCCGTCTTTTCTCTCTTTATCTATCCACATGTTGGTTTTAAGTAGCCAGCACCTCTTCCTGCAAAGGCTTACATGCAACCAAATGCAATCAATGTGTTTATTCAAATGTGTAATTTTAAGCACATGTATAAGTCTTTGCAAGTTGGAAGTCTTAATATTAGCATCTGATTTACATGTCAACCAAAACATTTTAGGACATCTAGCCTCTAAAATGTGTTTTATATTAATGGCTATTCTTCCACAAAAAACCTTCCGTCCTAGCGTTTTCTCTCCTCTCATTTTCTTTTTCCTCCTCTTTATTAGCAATCATGAAACCACCATGTAAATAATTTTTTGTTCTTGTTTTAGAGGAAGACTACAAGGTATTTTCACCCAAACTGCACACGAGAATGTAAGGAAGAATATAATTTTGGCAGCTCTGTTAAAGATTTCATGAGTCTAAATGAATTGGAAATAAAAGTTTAAAGAACTTTATCCTGGTGAGTCTGACCCATTGTTTATCATATTCACCAGTCTAGAAGAAAACACAATCCCCAAAATAGCAAGTTTCACAGCCTAGCACAGTCCTGAAGCAGCATTCAAAAGTCTAGTTTTTAAGAAGCTTGGAATAACTGAATAGCTTGGATATTATGGAAGTTCTCCATAGACATAGGTTCCGACCTTTACTTTTAATGTTTTTTAAGGGAGTACTTGATGCACTTGAGAAAAGGAGGCTGAGAGGAGACCTTATCACTCTCTACAACTACCTGAAAGGAGGCTGTAGCCAGGTGGGTGTTGGTCTCTTCTCTCAAGGAACAAGCGATAGGACAAGAGGAAATACCTTTAAGTTGTGCCAGGGGAGGTTTAGATTGGATATTAGAAAAATTTCTTCACTGAAAGGGTTGTCAGTCACTGGAACAGGCTGCCCAGGGAAGTGGTTGAGTCACCATCCCTGGAGGTATTTGGCAGATGCATAGATGTGGTACTTAGGGACATGGTTTAGTGGTGGACTTGGCAGTGTTAGGTTAACGGTTGGACTTGATAATCTTAAAAGTCTTTTCCAATCTAAATGATTCTATGATTCTCAGCACATTCAAGATAAAGAACAGTAAACCAGTTACCAACTCTGCACAACAAATAATATTAAATTTGCTATGGGATAAAGCCTTCTCTGGGAGATTGTTCAGGAGGGGGAAAGAACCGAGCCTGTGATTTCCACTGACTTGTTTAGTGAGCTCTTGCACCGTCTTCTTTCTGTTATTAGATTTTAAAATAAAGCTGAAATTGGGAAGCCTTTTTTCTGTTTTAACATGTTAGGTATGTGATCCAGAACACTGGGTCTCCCCTGTCAGAGAAAGCTCTTCAGACTTCCTCTTGAGGAAGATTAGATGCCTTTGGAGGCATTCAGGCTCTAGAGATAATCGGAGGCAGGCAGTGGTATTAGGCAGAAAGGTCATCAGGTCATCAAAGACCTTCTCCTCCCCCTAGGGCTAATTTAGGCAGACAACACACCAAAAGTTTAGAAGGAGAAGTCAGGCAGACTGAATCCGGGTGCAATCACAGGTCAAATTCAGGACAGGAGTTCCTGTGCAGAGGTAATTTTTCAAAACTCCAACTTTGACTTTGGGTCTAGAGAGACTCAGACGTTAAACCATGCCTGTTACTCACATTGGCAAGTCAGTAAGATCAGCTTAGAGGCACGGCCGTGTAGCAAGCTGATTTCTGTTGATCTCCTCCTGAGGGACCTACCTGTCCCCGTAGGGTAGGCTGCGAGCCTGAGCTTCTCCTTCACAGCCATTAATACAACTAGCTTGCAAAGTAATCAAAAGATGATGTCCTGCATGTTGCAGTTGGTAAGTCAGTCTGCTTTCTGAAGATACCCCTCAGTGGTTTTTTTTTTCTTGTGAAACTAACTTCCCTAATGTTTTGTTGTATTTGCTTCTGGTTTTAACAGTGCTTTCCACAGTTTTATCATGGGCCTTACAGACTGAAGTTCCAACATTTCTGGGGGACAATAATAAAGAGTAATCCAATGAAGCATTCTCCCAAGTCATATTCTCAGGCAGGGAACATTATTTTGAGCTAGGTAGCTGCTCAAAGCCTGTAATAAAGACCTCAAAGGAGCAGAGGTGCATAACTGTGACAGGCAAGACAGTACTGCTTAATATTGCTCACACAATGAGACTCTCTAAGAAGGGATATTGTACTTTAAAGTACACTAATCTGTGAATTATGGAGTGAATCACCAAAGTACATGTTTCACATTTCAGTCACTTGTCACACACTTTGTTTGTGTAACCCACCGGTCAGAAAATGTGTTATACAACACATCTGTGTCCAATACACAGAGGATATGTGTTTATGATAGCTTTCAACTGGAAATTCTGTCTCTTTTTGCACTAGCTGCTGAGATTCACACATTTACTCTGGACATCATTGTTTCAAGCTCCATAGTGGAGCTGTTGGGCTTGCAAGTGTCCCTGCAGAAACACACCTAAGGCATCTTAATGGAAAGACTTAGGGTACAGTGAAGGTCTAGGGAAAAGGGAGACTAACATGTAGAAGTGCTGGTATGATACAAGCATGCACCCCACTACCATGCCTGCTCTTTCAGGCTTTTAAGATTTCCATCAGAAATGACTGTTTCAGGGATGAAAAGGTAGAAGAAAGTGTCCTTCATGGAGTTTCCCACCAGTTGTCAGGTTATGTCGTAACTGCTAGAGCATTCTTCCTGATGTACTTATTTTCAGTAACTTTTACATGGGATAAAAGCCATAGGCAAATAATGTGCTGAGGTACACCACAGCTGTTCAACTCCAAAGGAAGATCAACAGACTCAGAAACAGTTTTAGTAGCATATACGCAGTCACTTTCTAACCCCAGTGAACTATCTCATGAAATGCTTGTCCTTGTGCAAAAATGGGGAAAATATCAACTAAACTGTACCAATGACAATTAAAATGGCATCTGAAAACACCCAGAAAAGTTTGCCAGTTCAAAACTGGGGAGAAACTCCTCCTGTGGGGTTTCACCGAAATACTATCAGTAGCCTGCTCCAGTGCTTCACAGGGCTCTCACTGTGAGAAAAAACAGGAAACAATATACTGCCAGCATTAAAAGGGTGTATATTCTAAAGGCATTGTATATATATATACACACATATTAATTTCTTAATATGCTTGTACAAACACTTGTGATGCCACCATAATTGTGCATTTGCAGTGCAAGTCTCGTAACACTGGGGTACATGTTGCTTATTATTGGTTGTTGAAAGTGCTTGTAAATACGTGGAGGGGTATGGGAATATCGCAGCAACATAAAGGTAACATGAAATGCACATCTTTGCCTAAGTAAATCCTAATATTCTCCTGCAGCCTCATCTGAGTTAATTTGAACTACCTTCACTGGAGCCAGAGTGAGCTTAGTCATTTTAGTCTAATGTACATGATACAAGACCACAAAAAATTATATCTTCTGCTGGCTAAACAGTGATAGTAGTAATGTCCAGATGACAGACAGTGATAATTGCTCTTTTAAACCATCAACTATTCTGGCTAAACAGAAAAAGGAGAAAGTCTAGTCACAGCTTTACATTGGTAACATCCTCAGTATGGTGGCTTTCATCCTAGCACAGGACACTTAAACAATTACTTCCAAAAAGCAGTGTATAAACATGTCTATGTCTCTATAATGGTATCTGCATCAGGATGGATTTGCCATTTTAACTTTCAGCCAGTTGCAGACAAAGTCTTGACATGGTGTATGTAATACAGCAGCTTTGACCGACCTCCAAATCTGACATGTCTTCAAATTAGTGCTTTTAAAATGCAGTGAGTGGGTGTTTCTGCCTTTAAAACATTGTCCTTTAAAGTTCTCTTCACCGCACTTCAGGTAAGATGTCTACTAAAACATACTGCTATTTCAGCAGCAGGCTCAGCTGCATTGGTCTGCTCTTGCATGTGGTATGGGCAAATATACTGTGTTTTCTGATTCAGGTGCAGAATCACTGCAGTTCATCTCCAGTGTGGCCCCATTTAAAAAGTCCTTAAATAATCCATACTGCAAGCTCCACTCCAGTGCTAAAAACAGATGTTGGAAAACATCCTTCAGCAGCACTACTAACTAATTTGGAGGTTAATATTACAGCCTAGCCTGTCCAAGCACAGAGTCAGAAATAGCACCTAATAAATAACTTCTCTGCAAGTTTTAGCAGCTATGAAGCTGTTTTGCTTTTTCAGCCATTAAAAGCATAAGGGGCTCTAAAAGAAAAGCTAAAAATTGACATAACGTGTAAAACAAGGCCTCTTCCTTCATCACATGTCCTGTATTTGTCAGGCTTTTAAAGGAGATAATGAGTTTCAAGCCTTTCACCAATCTGAGCTTGCAAAACATTCACTGTCAATATGAGATCTTTAAAAAGCCCACAGTCTCGTTGTCACTTCCTGACAGGCACTAAATTGAGCTGAGATTCATGAGAAGTTGCACCGCAGCCATTTCGTAGGATATGTCCTAGATGAGCACGCACCGAGCTGCTTACCTATGGACGTGTGTGGGGGTGAACAATGGCTTGGCTTCCAGGACAGCTTAAGTGCTCCAATCTTTTTTGACACTTGTAGAGTTTTGATAATCACAACATCCCTGACAGTGGTTCCTGAACACCTTCCAAACTTTAGCTTTGGCTAGCTTGAGCTTATTCTCTAGAAAAGGCAGAAGACTTTTTGCTCCTGTCCATGCTAGCTTCCTAATTCCCCA